CAGCATCCAGCCCCTGTCTCGTCCTCTAGGCCCTGCTCAGGGTCCCCCTTCACCCCTTGGCCCTCTCTGCTCCTCATCCCTGCCTCTCTGCTCCCTCATCCCTGCCTCTCTGCTCCCTCATCCCTGCCTCTCTGCTCCCTCATCCCTGCCTCTCTGCTCCCTCATCCCTGCCTCTCTGCTCCCTCATCCCTGCCTCTCTGCTCCCTCATCCCTGCCTCTCTGCTCCCTCATCCCTGCCTCTCTGCTCCCTCATCCCTGCCTCTCTGCTCCCTCATCCCTGCCTCTCTGCTCCCTCATCCCTGCCTCTCTGCTCCCTCATCCCTGCCTCTCTGCTCCCTCATCCCTGCCTCTCTGCTCCCTCATCCCTGCCTCTCTGCTCCCTCATCCCTGCCTCTCTGCTCCCTCATCCCTGCCTCTCTGCTCCCTCATCCCTGCCTCTCTGCTCCCTCATCCCTGCCTCTCTGCTCCCTCATCCCTGCCTCTCTGCTCCCTCATCCCTGCCTCTCTGCTCCCTCATCCCTGCCTCTCTGCTCCCTCATCCCTGCCTCTCTGCTCCCTCATCCCTGCCTCTCTGCTCCCTCATCCCTGCCTCTCTGCTCCCTCATCCCTGCCTCTCTGCTCCCTCATCCCTGCCTCTCTGCTCCCTCATCCCTGCCTCTCTGCTCCCTCATCCCTGCCTCTCTGCTCCCTCATCCCTGCCTCTCTGCTCCCTCATCCCTGCCTCTCTGCTCCCTCATCCCTGCCTCTCTGCTCCCTTCATCCCTGCCTCTCTGCTCCTCATCCCTGCCTCTCTGCTCCCTCATCCCTGATCAGCCACCACCCTCCCTCCAACTCAGAGCCCAGGAAGTTCCACCTCAACACGAAGAACTTCCCCCTGAGGGTGGCTGAGCCCTGGACAGGCTGCCCAGAGGGGCTGCGGACCCTCCTTCTCTGGACACTTCCCAGACCTGCCTGGGTGCCTTTCTGAGCGACCTGCCCTGGTTTTCTGCTCCTGCTCTGCCAGGGGGGTTGGACTTTGATCTCTGGAGGCTCCTTCCAACCCGGAAAACTCTGGGATTCACCCCCAGGGCCTCCCAAGGCCTCCAGGCCCTGCCGGGGACCCTCCCCTGCCCGGAGCCCCTTCCCCAGGACTCTCCACCTCAGCCTGAAGAGGGGCCCTTGTCTCCTCCCTTCAGGAGCGCGCGCGGCCCCTTTAAGAGCGCGCGGCCCCTTTAAG